GGTCAAGAAGAAGCCTCTTCATCAAGCAAAGGCAAAGCTCTCGCATGTAGCGAGAAAAAAAAGATGAAGGGCAAGCAAGTTGAGACAAGCTCAAGCTCAAGCTCCTCAAGTGAAGATGAAGAAGAAGATGAGGACGATGATGATGATGATGAAGATTCAAGTGATGATGATCAATCTTCCTCCTCCACCTCCGACCTTGATGAAGAATCAATCAAACTCATCAACAAGGTGGAGAAGATGATCCAAAGGCTCAATGTCAAGGGTGTGCCCATCCAAATTCAAGATCTCATTTTCACCAATCAAAGAAATGAGCAAAGAAAGAGAGGATGCTATGTATGCGGCGAGTTGGGGCACTTTGTGGAAGTTTATCCAAAAAAAGCCCACACCCAAGACAAAGAAGAAGACGTGCAAAAACCAAGCCCTCACATCAATAAGGTCATGGGATGATTCTTCAAGTGAAGAAGAACACCATCACAAGAGGCGAGGCCGCAAGCACTCATCATCAAGCTCTTCTCGTGTGTGCCTTATGGCACGAGGTAACAAAAGCTCATCCTCTCGTGAGAGTGATAGTGATGATGAAATGCCTTCTTATGAAAAAATTATGCAATAAAAATCTTAATTATGCTAAAGTTTGTACTAGTCAACAAAAGAAGCTCGAAAAAATAAAAGAAAAGCTAGATAGTTCACAAGAAGCATATAAAACTTTGCTTGAACAATATGAGACATTTGCTAATCTCAATATTGAACTATCTATTAAAATTGAGCAACTTGAGGCTAGTGCAACAACAAATGCATGTACAATCAATGATGAGCAACTTATAAAGAAAAATAAAAAATTAAAAGAAAAGTTAGCTAGCTCACAAGATGCTTATAAAAGTTTGCTTGCTAAAATAGAAACCATGTGCAAACATTGTGATGAGCTAACTAATAAAGTTGCTAATCTTGAAGCTATTTGTACAACCCCCACCAAGGCATCTAAAAAGAAAAGTTCTATCTTTAACATGTCTAAAAAGGATGGCTCTACTTCTTGTAATGATTTATGTTTAGACTCATCTTTGTGCAACCAAGTTTGTGTTGAGAAAGTAGTTGTAGATACATGCATACAAGAGGTTGCAAAGGAAAATAAGCAACTTAAGTAAGAAGTAGCTCGCCTCACCAAGGACTTGACTCAAGTGAAAGGCAAGGCGAAGCAAGCCCAACTTCATCAAGATAACACCGTCAAGGGAGTGAAGAAGCTTGATGAAGGACAAACCGTGGTTTGTTACGTGTGCCACAAGGAAGGTCACAAGTCCTATGAGTGCAAGGTGAAGAATGGGGGAGGAGCAAAGAAGAAAGAGAAGAAGCAAACAAGCAAGCTTTCCAACACCTACACCAACAAGGTGAACAAGAAGACCTCCACACCATACTTGTTAAAGAAGAAGAAAAATAACAAGGTGGTGGCCATCAAGGTGAACAAGCAAGCCAACAATGGGGTCAAATGCTTTTGGGTGCCAATGGAAATCATTTCCAACATGAAGAGCACCAAGATGGTTTGGATCCCAAAAGGGAAGTGAGAAGTCCGATGGACTTCAGGGAATTTGGAGACTTGACAAAGTATGATTGCATTTCAAGGGGTGCATCATGATGGATAAAATCATTGCCGAGTGGGTTAGTGAATACTATGGACCCAAATTCCCCTTCCCAAGTTAGGTAACTAGATTCAATTTCCTTCAAGTAGTATCAATTTACATTTTGTACAAGTGGTATTTCTTACAAATTAGTATCTTTAAGCATCTAGTTACTTATCATGCCTATGTTTGCATTTGCATGCTTATATCCTTTGTCATGCATACACTAGGTATATCTTATGGTAGGCTTGCTCGGTTTCATTCTTAACCCTTGGAGCAAACCTACATGGTTTAAAAATTGTTTAGGAGCACGACACATAGCTTATCTTACAATTGCTCATCTAATATGTGCCAAAGTCTAAATTGTAGATAATTTCTCCCGAATATCATCTTCGAAAATGATTCTCACATTCATGTGATGTCATCTTTCAAGTGGTATTATTGATTCTAAAATCAATGTGCATGTCTTTTACAAGTATTCCACACTTGCATGCACAAATTTAGGGGGAGGTTACTCTACAAGTTGGATGCTTTGAGACTAACACCTTTTTCAAGCTTATCATGTGTGTAGTAGTCTCATTGCAAGGAAAATGGAGTCCCTAGAGTTGAGCATCATACTTCAAATATCCACCACCGATTGCAAGTGGTAGAAATCAAATTGATTTCCACATATGGTATTTCTAAACCGATATCATCATGTTGATTTCATTTTGATATTTATATTCTTTCTCCATGCATTATATAGATTAAATTCTCTTGAGCAATAATTTGCCAATTATGCATATGCTTTGCCTTCTACCATATGTATGCATATATTTAGGGGGAGCTTAATCTGTATAATGTGAGAGTCAAATTTTGTGACCTATTCCACTCTACACACAAAGGATCACAAAGTTTGACTCTCCTTTGTGCTACTAATGTCTTCCTTTTTGGTGTTTGATTCTAAAGGAGGAGAATTTAGAGGACCAAAAGCAAGCATTAATTTATAGGACCAAAAGCAAGCATTAATTTATAAGTGGTAATGGTCTACAAGTGGTAAGGGTTCGAGAAAGGGAGGATAGTGGATTATGAATTAGTCTATGTAATGGGGACAATTTGTAGGAAGCAAGGCTTAAATCCATAATGCCACATGGGGACATTTGCAAGGGCAAGATAAGTTTTTATGTAGTATCTTTTAGTCTTATAAGTAGTATCTTTTAGCATCATATAACCTTGCCCCTTGCATTGCATCCTAGGAAGTAGGTAGTTTTCAAATTTCAAAATTCTATTATTTGCTTGCTTTGGTTGTGTTGTCATCAATCACCAAAAAGGGGGAGATTGTAAGGAAAATGGACCCTAGGCCCATTTGCTTTGGATTTTGGTGTTTGATAACCAACACAACCAAATTGGACTAAAGAATTTGCAAGTGTTTGTTTTATAGTTTAATAGGGTGCAAGACATGACTTGGACGAAGGCGACGTAATGATTCGATGATCAACACCATAAGCAAGACCTTAGAAGCACAAGAGAAGACCCAAGATATCAAGCAAAGTCCAAGCATGAAGATAGGAACCAACCCAGATGCAAGATCGCAAAGAAACGAGCTCACAGAGGTGACCGGACGCTGGTAGCACAGTGACCGAACACTCCGATCAAGAGGCTCGGCAGCAGCAGCGACCGGACGCTGAAAAGCAAAATCGACCGGACACAGGACAGCAGCGTCCGATCAAGTACAGAAAGATTCCAGAGCGGCAATACTACGACCGGACGCTGGCAGCGTCCGATCAGTTGATCGTGGCTCCAACGGTCGGGACTACCGGACGCGTCCGGTCAGGACATGATCAGCGTCCGGTCAGTAGCAGAAAAGCAGGATTTAGTCCCCAATGGCTACTTTTTCAGTGGGGCTTATAAATACAACCCCAACCAGCCAAATGAGGTGTGTGGAGCTGAGGAAACATATCAAGGGTGTTGATACACCATTTTAGTGATCTCCACTTGCATAGTGCTTAGTGATTCATTAGGTGATTGACGTAGGTGCTTTACGAAGTGCTTAGGTTGATTAGACCACCGCTTATGTGCTTGCTCTAGGTTTAGGCCTAGTGTTTAGTGAGGTTTGCATACCTCTTACCACTCGGTGCTTGCACGCACTATTGTTGTACATCGGAGGGGCTTGTAGTCTTGCGAGATCACACCAAGCGCGGTTGTGGTGTGGCCACCACCGTGTACCGGTGGGAACAAGGCCCACGGTGTTTCGGCCAGAAGCTTGATAGTGAAGACGGCGGGGAGCATCCGGGAGAGGCTTGCCAGATGGCACGTCGGAGACCCACTTGCGCATGGGGAAGGCCCAAGGCTATCCACGGAGTTACCCGACCGGGAGCTTGGCCCTTACGAGGGATTCCTTGCGAGGGGCTCCAACGAGGACTAGGGGGAAGCTTGCGCACTTCTCGATACCTTGATAAAAATACTGGAGTCGTCGACGGGAGACTGCATATCTCTACCTTGCTCTTTAGCTTCCGCATTTACATTGATTACTTTAATCCTTTTGCGGTAGAGATAGCAACACACTAGCAAAACCGTAGTTGCACATTTAGATAGTTTATCTTTTGCATAGGTTTTGATAAGTGAAGAAAAAAGGCCATAGTTTAGAGTTAGAATTTTAAAGTTGCCTCATTCACCCCCCTCTTAGGCGTCATGGTCCCCTACAACAATAAAAGTTGATTATTGTGACTTGCAAACATTATGCAAAGGTTCAATGATCAGTGAGCCTGCGCCGCACATCAGAGATCAATGAGCTCTGGCTAGCGACAACAATCTGCCACAAGCCCACAATCTGTAAGGACGCCATCTGCAAAGACACGAAGCACAAAACTCAAACTTAGGAATTTACTATTTGATCATATACATGTTAACTGCAGATAAATGAATGGACTTGGGATGTCAACTGCAGCTATGCTAGAACTTTTTTTTATAAAACTAGAGGGGCTGTGGGCCCCTACAGGCATTTTATTAAAACAAATAACAGAACGCAGATTAGGGAACTTCATGCTTCATTGACTAGCATGCATTTTATTAAAACAAATAACTGCAGCTATGCTACAACTTCATGCTTCATCAATTATATGACTAGGCAGAGGCACCAATGAAAAGGAGAACTTCATGCTTCAAGTGCATAGTAGGCAGTAGGTACTGTGCTACAGCTATAGTTCAAATCCATGTCAACTCATAATACTATCATGCTTTTATTCACTTCTTGAACTGCAGTCAGTACTCAACATACGAAGCTTGCAGGCAGTACTCAACATACGAAGTAATGTACTACATCTTCTCATTCCAGTAAACCATAGTTTGGTGTTCTGAACCCATGCACTGATCACAGTAAACCAACAAAAATATTTGCATCGGGGCATTAACCTGTCAATCATCTTCTTCTTCGTCTAATTCAAACATACGTTGTCCGGTCATTGGTTGACCTGCATTGAACAAGACAAACATATTAAACCACTATTGTAAATAAAATTGGCTTTGCAATATTTATCTGAAATATGACAATTACCTTCTTCTGCATCATTAAAGCCAATCAACCAATCTTTCGAACAGACTAACGCTTCAAGAGTTTCTGGAGAGAGAGATGTCCTATTTTTACCAAGTATCCTTCCAGCAGCACTAAAAGTAGATTCTGAGGACACTGTGCTAACAAGAATAGACAAGAAGTCTCTGGCCATCAAAGACATGAAAGGATAGGCATCTGAGTTTTTCTTCCACCATGCTAGAACATTAAAGTTCTTTGTCAGTCTCACAACTACTCTAGGATCATCCAAATAAATATCCAGTTCTGATCTTTCTGAGCGAGTACTCGAGTTTTGTGATGAAAATTGAGCAAATGCAAGCTCTACACGCCGTTTGCCACGAAGTCTAGAAGAACTCGATTCGCCCTGACTTAAAACTTCCTCTTCATATGTAACGAAGATAGGACCTGTGTTGTTCCTCACAACCCTCTCGTACTCTAGATAATATTTCTTCAAGTATTGTCTAAGCTCTCTCATGTTCGCTTCCGCTTCTGCATTCTCAACAGTCAAGTAAAAGAACCTGACAAAATCAGCTTTCATTGATGGGTCCAGGACAACAGCTATGAGAAGTACCATACTAGGCGCAGCCCAGTATTTCTGAAACTTGGTATACATAGCTTCAGCCAACTCATTGAGCATTTCACTGGTATTCCATGTCTCATCAAGCAATACATCTTGAACGACCATCAACATCTTCAGAAAGAGGTGGGCCGTTGGATGCCTATCCGCAGAAAATGCTTTTGTAGCCTCACTGAACTGTTCTAGGAATTCGTGAAGCGATTCAGCTTTCTGCCAATCTTGTTCACTAGGAACATCCTGATACTGCTCTGCTACGAATCTGTTGAGAGCTGCTTTATATTTCAGAGCTTCATTCAACATGTCATACATAGCATTCCAGCGGTGGGAAACATCTAGAACCAGCCCTGACTTGCCTTTGAGACCTAATGACTGAACGATTGAGTTGAATGTTTGCAGGCGAGAAGGTGTAGATGTGACAACCATGATAATGTCTCTTACCCTTCCAACTGCATTTGGTATGACTTGCAATCTAGCTTGGACCATTATATTGAGCACATGAGCAGCACATCTGACATATATGTGTTCACCCTTAAAGAACATCTGAGCACCTAGAGCAGCACGCAAGTCTCTAATCGCTCTGCTGTTCACGCTTGCATTATCTAGAGTCACTGTGAACACACGATCAACTAAATCCCACTCCATCAAGCAAGCCGTGATGCCATCTTGCATAGCAAATGAGTTATGGGGGAAAGAGATCTACTTGAATGCAATAATCTTCTTATGGAGCTCAAACTCTTCATCAATGTAATGAGCTGTAACTCCAAGATACCCCAAATTTTGGTTTGATGACCACAAATCAGCAGTTAAACTGACATGAGACTTCAACTTTGTGATCTTTTGATGTAGCTGTAATTTCTCTTCTTCATACAAGATCAGACAGTCTGCACGAACAGTTTGTCGACCCACCACATTAAATGAAGGCTAGCAATAATTTATCATCTCTTTCCAAGTAGGATCATCTGCTTTTCGAAATGCAACCTCAGCACTAAGGAAGTACTTTGCAATCAGACCTCTAAATACAACAGGATCAAATACAGAATTATCTCTATCAGACTTGTTCTTCAAAGTTGCTAAGAATCTGTCCCTATGCTCTTGAGGGATATGATGACAATAATATCCAATATGCCTATTCAAGTGAGTTGTCCATTTTCCCTGACACAGAAGACAACTGGAGCTTGCAATACTTGCACACAGCCTTCTCAATTCCATCAACGATTTCCGAGTCAACATAAGCCCAAACTTTAGCCCTCTTTTTTCCTGACCGGCCTGACTGATTAGTGGAGATAGCATCAAGACTATCCTCAACTTCTGCTGCTGTTGCTGATGAAACCCTCTCCATAATATCAAACACTCAGACTAATCAATTAGAGTCCCCTGAACCAATGAATGACAATCAATTAGATAGGATATTAAAGTAAGACGCAAAGAAGCTGAATTTCACAAAAATTTATAAGCCTAATTTGTTTTCATGATAATAGTACAGCTGACTGCAAAATGTTTGTAAATTTGTTTTCATGATTACTGTAGAGCTCACTGCAAACTAATGAAATTTTTTGTTCTAAAACATCAAAAAATGTATGGGTCAGGACAATGACAATGTAAGGAACAGCGTTAAAAATGTAGCCTGTGATAGTTTCATCTACTGGTGAACTGATATGGATGGAGAACAATTCAAATGTTGCCTAGTCCCTCTACATATAGCATGGATGGATGGATCGATTCCTATCAGTGCGCCTAGTATTTGCATAAAACTCAGTATATACCAACATGTTCGGGCTGAATTGATAGTGAAATCACTGCCGAAGTCCAAGAAAGTAAACATGCCTTTTACCTACTGTACACATATGTGTGTCAACCTGCACACACCAAAGCAGTACCAAATCAGCACTTGGAAACCCCCACGCAGAACCAAATGAGCACTTGGAATAGGAAATCTAGCTTCAGCAGAAACATTGAAGGAAGCGGAGGTGGGTACCTGCTTGATGAAAACGCACTAAATATGAATAATCTCAAACAGACACTGCTATATGACACCAAGTATATGGCAGAAAAAGGATCCAAATCTAGGTTCTTGGTACAATCTACCTAGCGCCCTTACTCGATCTATAGCAAAGACTAAACTGCAAGTAGATAGACAGAGGGATGGATTAGTTGTTACCTTGCGGACTTGGCAGCAGAGAGGAGCCCCACGCGCCGGAGGATGGATCTTGCCGACGGATGAAGAAGCGATGGGGCCTGAGGAATCGCTGCTACCGCCGCCCTGAGGAAGCGATGGCGACGGATGGAGAAGCGATGCCGCTGATGGAAGGATCTTGGACACCGAATCGCCGCTGCTGCCGCCGCCGCTGCCGCCTCCTCCTCCTCCTCAACCTGCGTCGCCGCCGCCCCTTAGCTCCCTAGGACCCGCCCGGCTCGGCCGCCCCTCGACTATGACTCTGCGAGGGAGACGCCAAAGGCAGAATCCATTTCCAGGATCCTCGAGCCGACCCTGTTTAGGCGATTCGTGCAACGACTCGGGCCATATCTACAGCTCAGCCTTTTTACAAGCCAATCCAATCCAACTCGATCCTTTTATTTACATGGCCCATATGCAATCCGTAAAATTAGGCCTGTGAGTTGGGGGGCCCTTTCGGCCCTTGGGTTTACACGATCCATTCCCAGTTGTAGCTGCAGCAGGCAATTGCTGCAAATGGGGTCCACTGCAACATGTGCAACACCAGATCTACTTTTGTAACATATAGAGGAAACATTTGAAACGTACGTCAAAAAACAGTTGAAACACTTCCAACATACATCTAAAACACGAGCGAAACACGTGTGTAGCCATTAAAAAACATATGCAACATCTACGTGAAACACTTGCAACATATGCGTGAAAACATATGCAACATTCGGATGAAACACTTGCAACATAAATGTGAAACATATGCAATACCGAGATAAAACACGTGGAACATCCGTCTGAAACAGCTGAAACATTTAGAACAGACATTTGCAATACACGCGTATAGTCATTGCAATATATGCAACATCCCGGTCTACTTTTGTAACATCCACATTAATCACGTGCAACATGCATATGAAACACCTAGAACACTTGAAACATACGCTTGCAACACGCGCTTGCAACATCCGAGGAAGGAAAGGGAGCGCGAGGTGCAGCCGGAGAAGCCCGCTCCGGGTCTGGCCACTCTGGATCTCGTGAAGTCGCGAGCTGAGGTCGAGCGTTGTGGTTGCGCTAGCGTCAACAGTGGCCACGACCTGTTAGTGGTGAACAGCGGCGTCGACAGCTCCTCGACGCGGCGAGGGACAGGGCAAGGCGCGACGAGGCGGAGTGGGCGCCACGAGGGATGGAGCACGGCGTGGAAATAGACGTGTCGCGGCTCGACGCGGGGTGGGCGCCGCCACGAGGCGGCTGGGGGCAAGCTACGGGTGCGTTGAGCCGCAACGAGCGAAGCGAGGAGTTGAGGATTTCTATCGGCTGTCACAGTGCAGATGGAGTAGATAGAGGAGAGAGCATAGATGGCCCTGTTGGGCCGGTCGCTGTGCTGGAGCGAGCACAGAGCAGAGCGTACGTACATATATACCCATTAAAGTTGTTCCAACAAATACGAATAGATAGTCTGCTGATTGTTTCAAAAAAGAAAGTCTGCTGTGTGCTCAACTTGGACAGTCCCAAAAGGAGCAGTTCTGGTTGGCCCATTCCACGCAGGCCCGCAACAGCTCATGATGGAAGCTCATGAGCAGACCCCAACCCGGCCGGCCGGCCCATTCCACGCAGGGTCCCACCATCTCTGTGATTGAAGCCCATGGGCAGACCCCAACTCGTGGTCAGCGGCTCGGCCACGGCGACTGGCCGCCCGCCTCGACCTTCCTCTCCTCCGTTGCTGGTTAGTGGCTAACCTAGGACTTCCATCAGCCGTCGGTGTCAGTTGACTAATATCCTCGCCTTGGTCGTGCGTCAACGCCGGCAGCCCTTCTGTTAATCGGGCGCCAACCGCCACCGGATTCCTACTGATTGCACATTCTACTTTAATATACAAAGGTTGACTATCTTTTTCATCTCTGCAATGGTTGCTGAATATGATGAAATGGCAACGCCGGACGAGTCCAAAGGCCAACTCAGATCTCTGATCTCTCTACTACTAGTCCTCGTCCAAGAAATTCAAACTCTACCACCGGACCGGACTACCATTCCAAAGATCTGGTGGAGATGGACACAAACCGGGGACAAATTTGTTAACCTTGTATTGAGCCACCATATACCATTCACCTCGTAGTCGTAGAACGCATTCAGGGTTCAGTGCAATTTACCCGCTTCTATCACTGGAAAGGTGTTTCACACCCCACTTCTTCTTTTTTCCATTTGATCTTTGTTTGATTTGGTGCTTCTTTTGGTATAGAGATAGATCGATGAGACAATGGCTAAATAATTTTTCTTACAGTTGCATTACAGCCATCATCCCCTCAGTCCCAACCACCAGCAAGATTACCGCAGCTGTCTATTATATAGGTCTTTTGCTAAACTTGTGCATGACGATCATCGATCAGTTCTGTTACTGTTCTGTTGTTTGTGAATGGATGCTGTTACCACTTCATGGCTTTGTGTATTGGCCGAATTTATTTTTCATCCGTGTGGATCACTATCGGCCGCACTTGCATTTGCATAAATGCTTTTCTTTCTTGTGCGACCTCAACTAATTATGTCAAGCAAGTGGACTAGTGCGATTAGTTGTCATTGACATGCTGATGCGGTTAGTTGACATATTTTCTACCAAATTTTGTAAACATGTTTAGTTTTGATCAGTGATTAATCGAGCTACTAGCCCAATTTGTGTCACAAATATAGGAGCTTTGATTTTTTTTACTATGGTTGGGGAGGCGTCCGGAAGCGTTAAATGTGTCAATGATTGATGGGCCCATACGAGAGAAGGTGTTGAGAGGCGTCAATGAGAGAGGCGTCGGGAGGCGTTGGATGTGTCTATGGTCGGTGGGCCGATATGCACCATAACGCCTCCCAATGCCTCCAAAGTTGAGAGGATTAGGACTTCAAATAAAAGAGTGACAATTCCTTTTTCATAATTATTTTTTTAATCAAAATTAAAGTTGCTTATTTTATTTCAGTAAATTTTATCAAAGCTTTATCAAAAGAGGAGGAAAAATTGACATCTTTTCCCGCAGATTCATGCCGCTACTTGTCGGATACCATAAAAAGGGGTACCCTAAGCAAGAATCGAAAAAATTGCTTAGACCTTGTAAATATCGAAGCCAAGAGACAACCACGAGGCCTCGGCCGATTCTCCGATTCGCCCGAGGCCCACGCCGCAAGGCCTCGGACGAGGTACCAACTCTCCGCCTCGCCCGAGGCCCCACCCCGCAAGGCCTTGGACGAGGTACCGATTCTCCGCCTCGCCCGAGGCCCCGCCCGAAAGGCCTCGGACGAGGTACCGATTCTCCGCCTCGCTCGAGGCCGGCTCGGCATCAACCCCGTCGCCGCTTTGACCGACTTCTCTGACGGGACGTCACATCCAACTGAAGCGTTCAACCACTCCCACAACGTCAAGCGCACGATGGCACAGTGCAGCGGAGTGACCAACGAGACGGAAGTCACATCAACGCCCTGCCATCCGGGACAGGACGGGGCAGGGGTTACCGGCCGCTGTGCTCGG